TCCTAGAGGAAGTACCCAGCATGCCTCGAGGGGCCACATGGGGAAGTCAAGGCACAGTACGGAGACAGAGAGGACCTATGGCACATGCCTTTATGAGGGTTTGTGTGTGGAGTACTTTGGGGTTTCCAGGCTCAGGTGGGATTGGTCAAACCAAAAGAGCTAGGTTTTGGTGAGCTCTATGAGGGGATCTTATGTAAGGGACACATAAGGGAATGGCATTGGGAGGCAGGGGAGATTGTTGATCACGACTGTTAGGGAAGTCATATCAAGAACTTTAATTTACTTGTGACTCTGTGAGCTGCTATCTAGGGCACTTGCATGAACTAGCCTCAGGCTGCTTGGCGAAACCAAATGGATGCCAAGGCACGGAGTAGCTTTAGCTAAACTCTTAACAACCTCCTTGCTTCCTACACCACTGAATAAATAGAAGCTTTTAGAAGAGAGCTTTTACTCTTTCCCATAACCACATCTTCTACCAACATACCTGAATCTATTTTCTCTTTTTCTCTTTTTATTTCTTTAGAAGAACTGTTTATACTGTCCCTTAAGTTCAAAAAAAACTGTGCACACTGAAGCCTTAAGGATGCAAGGATGTCACTCTGCAGTTCTCTCTTCTCTCTCTTGCATCATCTGTATTGCTCACTATCCTGGGTCATTCCTGTCCACATACTCACATGCGATTTTATCTTCTGTCTTTTGAAAAAAATCTCTTTTGATCTCACATTTCTTTTGAAATACTGTTCCATTTCTCTGCTGCTTTTTACAGCAAAATTCATCTGAAAAGTAGTTTTTACTATCTCTATGTTTTTCTTTCTCTCTTGAACTGACTCCAATTAGGCTTGTATGTCCACCATTCTCCTAAAACAGCTCTTGTCAAAATCACCAGTGACTACAATACTACTAAATCCCAGCAGTCCAGTTTTTAGTCTTTGTCTTCTTTAGCATGTTTACAGCATTTGCCAAGGTTGGTTCCTTCTAGAAATAACTTGTTCACTTAGCTTTCTCTCTTGATTCTCCTTTTGCATGACTGTGTATCCTTTGTAGTATCATTGGCTGTTTTCCTCGCCTTACTAACCTATAAATGTGGAGTGCCTCAGGACCCAATTCTCAGATTTTTCTATCCAAAATTACTTCTTAGGCTTTTAAATATATTTGGATGATGCCTAAAGTTTTATCTTCAGCCTTGACCATTTGACTGATTCTAGACTTGTTTACCAACTGCATATTGGATTTTGATTAAACATCTCACATTTGACATGTCCAAATCCCAAACACTTTAAAAAA